ATATATATTATTGCTGTTTTCTTTTCTTTTTCATCTTTTTTTTTTGGAGGGGGGGTTGTTTGGTATGAGTGGGGGTGGTTTAGGATAATTAGTTGAAAGGCTACGTGGGCAGGCACACTTAGCTCAGTTTGTGTCATGCTCAACTACATGATTAGTGGTTCTGGTTTAAATCCCCACAGAGTGTGTTCGTGTAATAATAATGTTATTAACTAAACAGGTAGAATTATTTTGTTTGTTTGTTTGTTGTTTTCCGGGATTTTATTTTTGTTTTTGTTCATTTGTTTGTAGTTGGGTTGTTGCTGTTGTTTTACTTGGGGGGTTTTTTGTTTTTGTTTTGGGGAGGAGGGTTGAGGGTGTTGTTTTTGTGGGGGGGGGGGCGGGGGGCGGCGGTTATTTGTTAATTTTCGGCTCTCCGCTATGTTGGTTTACGGAGAAGGGCATTAGAATTTGAAGTCTTGCTCTTAAATAACCCTGGGTTGATGGGAGAGTCGATAAATCCATATCGTACGGAATAGGTGTAAGTGTTTCAGCACATAAAGTCGGTGTAGAATCGATGAGTTGTTGATGTTTTATACTTTTGTCTTCGCTGAATTTCTGTTCTAAAAGTACGGTTGTCTTTATTGTTGTTGCTGTTGTCGTTGTCGTTGTAGATGTTGCTGTTGCTGCTGCTGTTGTTGTTGTTCTTGTTGTTCTTGTTGTTGTTGTCGTTGTTATTGTTGTTTCTGTTGTTATTGTTTTTATATTGACGTTGCTGTTATTGTTATTTGATACTTTTGCTGTCTTTAGAGGGATTGTGCTCTATTTGTTATGCTGGTTAGTTGGTGGATTTATGGTTGTTGGTTGTTATTTGTTGGGGTTTTATTTTTGGTATAGTTTTGTTTACGATTGTAGTTTAGTTTTCATGATGGGGAGGGATTGATTTTGATTTTTTAATTAAGCATGGGGTTGTTGTTTTGTTTTGGGTTTTTTTGGGGGGGTCGTCTCGTGGTGCGTTGGGGGGATTGGCTGCTTTCTTT